GGGGGGGGGGGAGATGATCAAGGTTAAACATGTGCACTTACACGTCGTCGAGGAGGAGCTCGGTGTAGGCGAGCGGGAACCAGCCGCTCGTCTGCGTCCGCAGGTTCTCCCCGAACTGCCAGCCCTTGTTGCGCTCGCCCATGAGCGCGAGGATGTCGCCCTCCAGGAAGCTGAGCTGGTTCTCGCCGCTGCTGAGGTAGGCGTAGAGCGCGCGCGCCAGCGGCGACCCCCAGCCCCTGCCCGCCGAGGACACGGCCAGCGACTGCGGCCGCACGGGGCTCGCCGAGTCTGCGAGAGAAAAGTACCGATTAGCTCACTTAGTTCAGAGTGCAGACAAATGGGTAAGGTCGCAGGTGCAGACTCGCCAGGACCTCCCCTCAAAAAGGGGATCAATCCCCTTTAAGTAGGCCGAATCCCTGATCGGGTGCTGACCTCCGTTGATGGGCGAGTGCGCCCGCGAGGACAGGTTGAGGTCGGAGCGCGCCCTGCTGAGGGTGCCGCTGTCGGTGCCGCGGTGCTGGTCCTCGGGCGCGTCGCTCAGGCAGCGGATGTCGAGCGCGGACGCGTCCATGGAGCGCGTCTTGCGCAGCGCCGACGCCATGGAGCCGTCCTCGCGTCGGCAGTACGAGTCGTCGTCGGCCCACATGCTCTGCGGCTGCATGAGGCACAGAGAGAGCAGATGAGAAACCTCGCTCACTCACCGCAGGACCTACAACCGCGACTCTGAGCGAGTAACTTTGGCATTCCCCGCACGACAAAACAACTCGCCGATCACACCTGCTGCTTTGTCGATTTGCAGACAAAGTTTGATTATTTCTCATGCTATTTTGATTAAAACAACTGAGCACCAATGTAAATGTAAAAGAATAAATTAACATTTTTGCGCTAATTAAACCGATCAAATATTTTGATAAGATCTTGTCCAGTGGCATCAGCTGCCCGTCTGCGCCGCTTTTAAGTTTCTCATACCGCCGCGGAGCGACCGCGCTCTCGCTCACCGGTGTCTGTGGTTGTGAGTTGATAAACCGAAATGATTGTGAAAATGCTGTTTTTCCAACAAAAGGAGTTCATTTAACAACAGTTAAATTTTGTATCTAGCAGGAGAACATCGAGTTTCATTGTGAAGGTATGTATTTTGCGAGTTTGAACGTTTTCAAATTTGAGGTGCTGGATAGGGTTATGGCACCACACAAGTTTTAAATCAAGTGTTATTCATCTATGGGCAGAGAATGCGTTAAACTCTGTGCAGGAATAACAAATAAAATGATTATATTTTGCTACACAGGACTAAAGCATGTGCGTGCCCTGAGAATTTACCCCCTCGGAAACCACTGTGAATGGTAAGGTGTAAACACGTCTGGACCTGCTACGCTACCACCGAACCACCTTAACTTTTATGTCTGTCGTTATAACCATGTAGTTACCAGAAATCGTTAAAATTTGTTTCCAAAGCGATTAAGGCAGAGGTTACGTGATCCGCATATGTTTCGTCTTGCCCCCCCCCCCCCAAAAAAAAAGAAAAGTAATTTGAAAACTCTCTCATTGATTGTGATGGGATGGGTGTCCGGTCACTGCAGAGTTTGATAGTCAGGCACATGTCCTCTCAGACGAATTTTCCGTAATGTTCGCTTACCCCGATCCGCGAGGAGAACATCCTCTGGACCTCCTCGGGCAGCGACTCTCGGGCGCGCGCCACGCGCTGCCAGTCGGGCAGCCGCTGCTGGAAGAGCGCCGAGCCGCACGTGTGCAGCGACAAGAAGTGCTTGGCCAGCGAGCACTGCCGCTCCAGCACGAAGCCGTAGCGCCGCCGCTCCTGCGTCAGCGCCTGCGGAACAAACGCGGACGAGGCCGTGTTTCAGAACGAGGCTTGGGTCCCACCACCGATCAGGAGGGAGCGTTTGTCGGGCGGGCGATTGCGCGATGCTACTCACCGTCCTCAGGCTCTGCTCCCGGAAGGCGTCCAACTTTGACTGTTCCTCCTCTAGCCGCTGGAGTGTCTGAAAACAATGGGATAATTGACATGTAATTAAAACAATTTTTCCTTAAAATGTTGTTGCAGGCCTGTAGTTGCAGTGCCACCCACCTTGAGGTCCTTGTCGTTGGGGGTGGTCTTGTTCTTCTTGCGCTGCTTGCGGCTCAGGGCGGCCGCCTTGCTGTGCGACTCGGACCGCTGCTTGTGCTGCGCGTTGAACTTTTTCTGCTCCATCTGGAACACGTAACGCAACGCGCGCGCACGCACGGTCATATGTGTGCCCGTGCCCGGCCCGATGACTCCCCTGGGGGCCCCCTGCCTCTGCCTGCGACAGAGCTGCGCTGGGCCGTGATGAAGACCCGGTACGTGCTGCGCTCGCACGCACGGCCACCTGGCGCCCCCTCAGACACCCGCAGCGGCCCTTTGTGACGCCCCCAATAACAACAAGATCCCCCGCCTCCTCCCTCCTGTGCCCGTCGAACTAATCAAACGCCCGTCGCTATCGCCCTCGCCCAGGTCGTCGTCGTCGTTGATATTCCTGTGGCCGATGGAGACGAGACGCCCTTCAGTGATGGACGGACAGACCGACACCGGGCCGACGGTCGGGCGGACTGGGGAGCAGAAATGACAGGAAGACCTACACCCCCAGCAGCGGCAGCAGCAGGCTCGGGTGAGTGTCCTTTGTGTCCCTGTCTACCAGCAGGGTTGGTCGCCCCCTATGTCCCATGAGCCACCGGGCTCTGCCTGCTAAAGCCCCGATGATTACTCCCCCATGCTAAAAAAAATATGTTACTTACTATTTCATTTCGTGTTTAGCGCTCATTGATTCTTACGACGCGCTTGTGAAAGAAAAAATGTATCCCCACCCCTCCCCCTTCCCCCCTGAAAATTAACCGACTGTCGTTGGCTCGCACCAGAGGCCAATATCGGGACGCCCATCACGACAACGGTCACGGGGTTGGCGAGGGAAGAGGGGTGACGGGGGAGGTGGTGGACAAGCCGGCTGGTCGTCAGCTGCACCTGTCGCAGCCACCCTCACCCCGTCCCGTGCCCCCCTAGCCACCGCCGCCACACCCCGAGCACCCCCTCCCCCCTCTGGGGCGTTCGATAGGCCACCCCGCCAGTGCGACGAGCGCGCTTTGGAGAATCTCCCCTCGAGTACCCTGGCGCGGAACCCAAACCTCCCCCTGACCTTCTCCACCACCTCCCTCCTGAGCAACTACCTTCTGCCCCCCCCCCCTAACACTTCTCCTCCACGCACTTCGACGCCGACCTGTTTACGACAAAGCGCCCCAACTAACTTCCAGACAAACGTACTCAACTCACAAAGCGGGCACCCCCCCCCCCCTCCGGCCCCACCCCTCGCAGCTCAGCAGCAGCAAGCGTTCAGCCCCATTAACTGCATCCTGGAGTCTTTCAAAGTCGGTCGTCTCCAGGAGCACCAGGACCCGCGGCGCGCCTCCAGGCCGCTCCAGGCAGGAGTTTTCCCTCCTTTCCGCGATGATGCAGTCGTGTAGCGCAGGCTTCTCTAACGTGTTGCTTTGTTCTCTCTGTCCCCCTTTCCTCCAGCGAGATGCTGCGCACAGAGCGCTCTATGCTTTCTGGAGCTGCTCGACTCACCTGCACCACCTTCGTGTCCTTCTCCAGGTTGGTCTCCAGGGGGACGAGGAGGTCGACGTAGAAAGCCTTGAGCTGCAACAAGAGAAAGACACCGGTACGGCTTTTGAGGAGAAGCATCACGCGTATGGCCACAGGTAGGTCGGCAACGAGACTAGATTCTGTGTATGTTTGTGTGTGGGGAGGGGGCAGACGCTGGTCCGTCCGCCCCGCCCAATCCATGCCAGTGCACTCCGCACTGTGCTCACTCCGTATTGTATTTGCCTGTAGTGCCTTGGCCCCCCGCCCATGGCTCTACCCGCTGTACGTTGTGTACACAGGATTGCCGTTGCGGTGGGTCCCTTTGAACTCCCCTACCCCACCCCACCCCAGCC